AAAAAAAAAAAAAAAAAGAAACTAGATTTTATTTTTACAAATTTTTTCGAAATCTTCTCGCGCGTCGGTCTTCTTTCGTCTTCTGAGGATTATCGAGTAACGCGATATAATAACGTGTGTCGGCAACGCTCCTATCACTCACGAGATGTTCTTCTTACTTGACCTTTGGTGCGCGCGATAAACTGTATAAAAATTCTTTCTTTGAAATCCTCGAGTTTGCTTCCGTTCTCAACGCAGTCAGGTAAAAAAAAAAAAAAAAGAAAAAAAAAGAAAAAAAATTACATACATTATATTTAAATGTAATATATTCGAATTTTCGTAATTACATGCGAAAAAGGCTTTCAAAAAAACACGTTTGTATTGTGTACGGTATAAATACAATACGAACGATGAAGACGATTGTGTGCGCAGCACACAAAGGAGATTTTGCTTGCTTCTGCGCGCGAACGGTTTGGTTTTGCAAATGTTGGTTTGAGATTCCAGATTTTTTTTTGAGAAATATCAATACGCGGCAGAACCGTTTGCTTTTCCGCGAACAGCAGTAGCAATCCAGTAAGATTCGTTTCATTAATATGAGAAACATTTTTCAAAAGCGTTAGTCGAAATAACTAATTGAAAAAAAATCATATAAAAATCATATTTAATTAACATATTATATATACATATATATACATATATATATATATATATATATATATATATGTGTGTGTGTGAAATATTATGCTTTTTTATTTTTAAAAATTGAAAGAATGAAATGAGTCCATAATTCGTAAGATTTATTTTAGATACGATTTCATACTTAAAGTGTATCTTACAAGTTGCGGATTCGTTTTGTTCTTGCTGCGTCCCGCAAATCTCTTTCACAAGTTCGCTCTTTTGTTTGTGGATACATTGCGTGCGAAAGAGAGAGAAAATGCCGTGATTTTGAAATTGTTCGCAAAAGAAAAAAAACAACAAACAAAACAAACAAACAAACAAGAGGCAAGTGTGTCGAAAGATTGAAAAAAAAAAAAACACTCTCTCCTCGTCCCTCTTTCTCCTTTGCAGGTGTTTCTCCTCGCCGCTCACAAGTTTTAACGCATTACTACACTCCGTGAAAAAAAATAAAAAAATAAAAAAAACGTATTGTGTTTGTGGATATATGTAATTTTACTTATCAATAAATAAATTATAAAGAATCTCAATATTGTATGCGAGATTTATTGCAACCGATTCGTTGTAGAAAAACAAAAAAACAAAAAAAAAAATAGTATAAAGTTCAATTACTTTGCTTGCTTGCGTGTTCGCCTGTACAGCTATTATCACACCTTGTTAACGTAATTTTTCGAAATTTGATGAATTTTCATGAGATATTATTATTTATATATAAGCTATTATTTATACAAGCTGTGTTTTAAAATTTATCAGTCAGTAAAAACAGCTACTGAAGCAACAAAGTCCATTATTATTTATGGTTCAAACAAAGAATTTATCGCATGAATCATCACGGATTCCTGTTGCTCGTCCGTTCTTTTGTATACCTACACAAAGCAAAGAAGACACGTATACACACAATAAAGTTGCGAAAACTAGAGCGCGCTCTTGTTTCGCGTCAACTATCAAACGCCGCTGTCAAACGTCAAGCGGCATCTCTCTTTGCGTTAGAACTAAACTCGCACCTGTTTTGACACAGTTGTTATTACCGTAGTCCATCTTTCTCTTTGTTTGATCCCGCGCGAAGCGCACACATCGCGAAGTAGTTTATCAAGCAATGTGACGCAACGTCTTAATCGTGAACTATATTTGAAATTCCCATTTTACTCGTGATGTAAGCACTTTTGTCACTGACGTCACTTCAAATATCACGTGGACCACATGTTCGATTATTATTATTATTATAGTTTACATCGATAGAGAGAGAGAGAGAGAGAGCGGCGATTAGTCAGTGATTGTTGAAGAATGCGCAGCACGATGATTTGTTTCATCTCATACAGATAATTCGCAACTATTAATTGATTTGCGTCCAGTGTGTGTCATCATTGCAGTTGACGACTTTGCGTCGCTCGCTTACCCACGAAAATAAAAACTCCAATTTTCGAGGATATTCGTTTCGGAGGATCAACTTCAGATGTCAACTATCAATGATGACTTTGACAGACCGTTCGAAAACGTTGAACCGTTACAATGGAGCGCGTTGCGAGAGGTGTGTAACGCCAACATAGATTATTTCACATCTCATCAGGATGAGAACGGGGTCAGAATCAAGGCCGCTCTCCTGGCGATCCTGGATCATCTGGATCAAGCCCAACCTTTGTACAGAGATATAACAAAATTCGCGCCCCATTTCGATTTTGATAAGGAAACACCCGGGAATGGATATAGAAGTTTTCTTTTGCTGATGGACAGATGTGTCATGCACTCCGTTCAGATTTGTAGGGAGATGTATAATCAAAAAGATTCCATGATGTTTCGAAAGAGCCATCATATGAAGTGAGTATTAATTATAATTGTTCAGACCGTTGTCTCTCTCTGTGTGTTTAACAACATTGGGATTGTATTTATTCAATTTGCGAGTTTTCAGGGAAGTAGAAGCGTGCTCCCATCTAATGGCGGCATTGTGTACATGTTTGCAGCATTTAATAACACTGCATTCATGGAGTACACAAGCGGAGGTGATGAGTGACGGAAAGCTGTCGTTGTTTTCATTAGATAGTTACAGTGCTCAAGAGCTTCTCAACAGATCAGCAGATATCAATTCGTACTGTTTTTACGGCAGATGCCTAGGATTTCAGGTATATGTGTGTGTGTGTGCCCAGATAGCCAACTGAGTGCAAGTTGTTGGCAACTTGCTACAAATATTGCTCATAAGGTTTCAGCAATGTAACAAAAAGGTGTATCCTCTTTTCAGTATGTTCTTGCCATCAACAGTTCTCAAGATATGATAAGAGCAAGTTCCCAACAACTCATCGGCAATAAACTTTATATTATTTTTCTCAACTTATGAACAAAAATCATTGCTTACATATTGCTGACTCACTTGTCATAAACATTGGCTACAACAATTGATTGACAATAAAACTCAGCATATTGATACTGAATTGACAAAAACATTGTCGTTGCATTAAATAAAAACAACACAACAGCAATTGGCAAGCAACTTAGTCCGCACAATGATTTGCTTTATATTGAGTTTTCACATTTGGCTATCTGGGTGTATGTGTATGCGATTTGAACTGTGATATTAGATCCTGTTTCTGACATTTATCTAAAGTATTATCTCTGTTTTTTTTTTTTCAGTTCTGCAATAGTGTGAAACGTGTGATAAAAACACTTTCATTCGCTATGGCGTCTTTCAGCGAAATGTATTATAATAACGGCAATATATTCGAACGATGTGCCAAGTCTGTCAATTACTTGATGGATCCTGAGGCTAGGGCGCGTCGTATTGTGAACGTATCTCAGCACGCTGATATTTCTTTCTGCCAAACATTTTGGTTTTTAAATGAATCTCGTAATTATATTTAAAAACAATATATTTCATATACAAACACTTGTTTGGTTTTGTTTCTAAAACAATTTTTCTTGCATTTATATTGAAACAAAACAAATGTATTGAAATATTTCAATTTTTTTGTATTTACGTATACAATATATTTACATAAGAAAATTTATTTTAGAAATAATGACCATGATGAATCCTTTGGTGACCATCAACCAGGTGTTATCTATCCCACCTGAAGAATTGACCCTACCTACTCTGAATGGTGGTAGCGTTTCAATTCCGATACCGACTAGTCATATTGGGAAGAAGCCAATTCATGTTAGATTGTTGAGTTCTAAACGACGTCTAGGAATGGTATATATAAATATATATATATATATATAAATAAGATAATTTATTAAGTTTAACTGTGTTATATAATCTACTTATAATGCGATATGTTTTTGTTTGTGAAATATAAACGGATCTCAAATGTGAAAGTGACGTATAATAATTAGTAATATTTTTTTTGTGATTTTAAGGCTGGAGTTGGAAACGTAGGGGGAGAGTTGTTTGGTCTTTGCGACGAATTAATTTTTCATGTTCACGGAGGCGGGTTTGTATCGCAGACCTCGCGATCGCATGAAATATATCTACGAGATTGGGCTGTAAAACTTGGCGTATCAATATTAAGCGTAGATTATAGTCTAGCTCCGGAAGCCCCGTTTCCTCGCGCGCTCGAGGAAGTGGTCTATACTTACGCGTGGGCGTTAAAACACGCGAGCACATTACTCGGAAGCAACGCAAAAAAAGTCATATTTGTCGGTAAGACTAAAAATTAAAAAGTTTTTTTTTTTAATTGCGATATATGTTTGTTTAATATGTTTGTGCTAATCTGTTAATCGAGAGTGATGTGTGAAATTTGCAATTTAAAAAATTAAAATGCTTCGATAGGCGATTCTGCGGGTGGAAACTTGTGTTTTGGCGCTATTTTGAAGTGCATACAATTAAATATAAGAAAACCGGATGGTATTTTTGGATTATATACACCGATACTTATCGAGTTCGTCCCATCGCCTTCTCGCTTGCTCTGTCTCACGGATCCAATGTTGCCGTTTGGTTTTATGATGCGCTGTTTAAAAGCTTACGCGGCAACCGATAACAAGAAACCCACAAAGTAGATTATTTTAGATTTCTTAACAAAAGTTTAATATTATTTTAATTATAAAACTACTTTTTCAATGAAAGATAAATTGCGTTTTCATAAGAATTTTGAAGAAAAAGCAAAAACACATTTGACGTTATGTTATCTTTGATTTCAACAGGGAACAAGAGAATATTGAAAAATCAGATACGGAATCGTTTGCGGAAGTAAGCGAAAGTGATCTCATAGCATTAGCCCTGAGCCCGAACGGAGAAGGCGCGAACGGCACGCAGAAATTAGTATCCTTACCGTCCGACTCAACGTTGAATTCTGTTAGCTTGACAGAAGTTGATGGTATAAACTAAGACACAAACTTGTTTACTTAACACGTTCACGCCGGCGTGACCCACCGGTTGGTCACACCTGACTGTTCCGTGGGGCGGCGTGACCCACCGATGGGTCACACCTGACTATTCCGTGGGGCGGCGTGACCCACCGGTGGGTCACACTCGCCCCACGGAACAGTGTTGCCCAGCCCCACGAAGCGTAAGGAGATAAGACAGTCCCGCCTCACGCGAAAAAACGTAGATTTTCGCCCCGGCGTGAACGTGTTAATTTATATATATAATATTGATGTTTACCACTCTTTCGTTGTGCGGATGTATTTTTGGTAAAGACAATTTTTGACGTACACACTAGGTGCCGAGTGTCCAAAAGAGCAGGCAAAGTCTAAAGAATATTTCAGCAGATTCTTAAACATGTATAGAAATTCTGGGTTCGGTACATCATCATCGCACGTTGCGCAAAATGGCAGCGGCAGCAGAGACGATAACATCTCGGAACAAAGTAACAAATCGTGGTCTCTGTTCGGTTGGTCTTTGAGCAGGAAAAACAGTATCAGAGAACTTGATCTGGAGAATGCGAAAAGTCCTTCCGAGGAATTCGCTTTTACGGTACCAAAAGATCCATTCTTGAGTCCTTATCTCGCTCCGGATAACGTGCTAGCTCATATGCCGCCCACAAAACTGCTGGTACGTGTTGCTGTTGTTGGATTTTAAAACTGTATAGAAAACTGTGTTATTACATCAACACACGATCAAATGTTTTTTTAAAACATATATGTTCTAATAAATTTTTTTTTTTTTTTAATTTTAGACAGTACATCTCGATCCTTGTCTAGACGACAGCATTATGTTTGCGAGAAAGCTCCGTTCGATTGGCAATAAGGTTACGTTGGATATATTATCGGAATTGCCGCACGGATTTCTCAATCTTATACAGGTGGGAAAACAAAATCATCTGTTTACTTTTATTTTAAACCATATATTGTTCTATTACTGATATTTTGTTGAATTATTATCCACAGACTTCGAAAGAGGCGCAAGAAGGAGAAGAAATCGTTGTTGGAAAATTGAAAGAATTGCTGGAGCTGTAAAGTATATGCGTAACACGAAGAATTATCACTGTTAAAATCATAGATTTAGAATTATAAATGGAAGAACAAATGCACTTCTGTGTTACGGCTATTTATACAGAAAATATGTGACTAGATCTTGTTTCCGGCGGGCTTAATTATTTGTAATGTTTAAACAAACTTAAACATATATATATAAACGGCTTAACGCCTTACGCTTGAGCGGTTTTTCTACTGTATGAGCTACATTGGCGATTACCCGTTACGTACGTGTTGCCGATGTGTTGTGTGCAATATCTAAAATAATCACGAGAAGATCCCCATTATGTTCGAATCGACAACAAATGCTATAATTCATTTAGAATTAGACAAGTTTATTTAAGAGAATCTTTCTTTTTTGAATCTCATCTCGTTTAGAACTTGAAGCTATCGTCGATTCGGATATAATGGTAGTAGGCCCACTGGGTGGTGTAAACAAAAAAAAAATCCGAATCCACAAATGTTTTTCTCACAAAAAAAATTAGCGATAAAGACACGAATAATTCTGTACACAAGAAATATATTTATAGTATTTACTATACTGCATTCTAATTTGTGTCATTTTTACAGAATAAAAACAACACACATGTAATACGCATATGTATTTCTATAAAAAAAAAAAAAAAATGTATGTATTTCTAAATACACGATCACGGAATTATTATGGTATGTAATTACATATTGTGATAGAGATTGCGCGATTATATTGATAATGGTATTATCGTAAGATCAATATTTATACACAAATTTCTTTGCACAGCAATTTTGTACATTCTATTTTTGTAATATTTATTTAAGGCTCCGTCTATTCAAGGCTCGAGAGTGAATAGACTCCTTAACATAATATATACTATTGTTTGTGCGCATGTGTAATTTCACGATGTGATATCGTTTAAATGCCAATGTTTTTCTATCGTAAAAAAGATGGCTTAAATATTGTTTATAAAATTTTTAAATTACATCTAAGTAGAGAAAATTTGATGGACAATAAAAAAATATATAAAATAGAAGATACGGTTGTGCAACTTTTTTTTTTATTTTAAAAAAACAAATTACAACATTTGTCTTTTTCGTTCGGCAGACCGTTATAAATTTTCAGTTTACTTAAAATTTTTTGTTTACATATACGTGTACATACAGAAGAAAAAAAAAATGATCAGCCTTACGTAAACGGGACATTTTTGTTACAAGAGATACGAAACAAAATTGAATTTTATTTTAACAGAACATGAAAAATGTATATATATATGTAACGGTTTTTTTTTTAATTTACAAACAAGATAAATTAATGAAAACAATGCTACTTATGGATTGACAGTTTGATGATTTGTTTGATTTCCTCGGGGGCGAAGTGTTTTTTGTAATACGTGCGCATCTGCCGGTTCTATTCTCTTGTAGTAATGTTCTTTAGTTTCAACAATTTGGAATCCAAATTTCTTGTAAAAGTCAATCGCGCCTTCATTACTTATTTGAACGTGTCTACAAATATATATTACATACAACATATATATATATATATATATTTATTATAAGAAACAAAACTCTTTTATTCCAAACATATTTTGTATTGTATCAGATTGCAATATAAAATGTAAAAAAAGTCATATACTTACAAGAAGATGGAATCAAAATTACCATCCTTGTTAACATAGTTTAAGACATGCTGAACCATAACAGTGCCAATTCCTAATCTTCTATATGGATAAAGACAACCCAATGTCATTATATATAAACGCCTAGAATTTTCAGAAGTATCTACACGACAGCAAACTGCTCCAACCTGAGAAAATACAAAACCACGTTACAAGTTGATAAATTGACAAATTGATAAATTGACATTTATTTAAAAAAGCTTAGCATCGGACCAATTAGATTCTTAAATGTTTTTGATTTCAGAACTCTTCTTATAAAAAACAAAAAAACAAAAAAAAATACTATGTTATTGTACGTACTACTATGTCATTATAATATGCTAGTTTTGCAAGTTCTCCAGCTTCCAATACATCCTTATAAAACTTTTCGTTATACGAAACTGGGAACACAACTTGGTTAAGCAACTTCAGTTGCTTTATGTTATGTGGTGTCACGTCGCCTAATTCTATTTTTGATCTGCAATTAAAATATATGTATAAGGTGGGTTTTTAAATTTTATTTCTAACACACACATATATATATATATATATATTGCTGTAAGGTGAATTATTGAAATAATGAATTTTGTGAACGCAAGTGTTTTCTCAACAACGCGTTTCCATCAGAAAACGAATCGACGAAGAATTGACAAAAAAGTAGAGAGAGAGAGAGAGAGAGAGATAGGACAAATAAAAATTAATTAACCGTTTGTGCGTATTATAAATTATGCGATTAGCGCCATAACCTCCAAAATCTCGCTATAACCACTCACCTTGTCATTTTGGCGGGTGCCGAAAATGTGTCTCAGGCTGGAGGAAGTGCAAACTCCCTCCTGGAAATCGAATCGGCGAAGTTTAGCGTTAGTCTGGCGCTATCTTCCTGAATTAGAGATATTATCGTTTTAAATACAAGAGAACACAGAAGTTTTCTACTACGTCATCTTGCGATAACTATGCAATCTGCAACGAGAAAGAGAATTTGTATTTTATATATATATTTTTGAATCTCGTTTTTGACGTCGCGCAAACGTCGTCATTTCTCACGTAAAGGCGCTAGATAGCGCGGACGATGTAAGTCGGCCATCTTGTAAACCACATGACCTCGTTGCCGTGTCCCGTGACCAGCTCACGTGAATTTGGACAAATTCAAACGTTTTTTTTTCAACGCCAAAAAATGGACATTTTGGATCAACAACTCGAACAGCAGGATGTCAGGTAGCGTTTACGTTAAATATCGACCGCCTGATATTGCGAACACCTATCCTTTCCGTCTCGCCCGAGGTCTCCTCAAGGTCATCATCATTTATAGTGCACAGTGCGCACTTACGTACGCCGTATAGGATCGACACGCACAAATCGTCGAAGTAATACACGTAGCGAGTTAGCTCCTTTAAGATAAGACGATATCGTACCTTAGAACATTTAATTTTGCAGCGCTGTGAAGGAGGACAGCGGTGATACGGGAATCGTCATAGAGGAAACGGAGATTGTTGATTGCGATGGTAAGGAAAATACGCGTCAATTATATCACAGGATACATTTGATACAACGTATTTTCTTATAATAAATAATCCAATTTGTTATTGAAGATCTCGAGGTTTTACGTGTACATCTGCATCTGTATCTTTTTGTCAGGTGAACCTGTTGTGGAAGATGAAATGCATTACCAGGAACCTTTAGCTTACCGGATTGTTCAAGTTAATGGTACACCTTTACAGTCAGCCAACGAGATAGAACTGCCCGTGTCGCAACAAGGAAATAACACTGTACAGGTTCTGACATCTGGTTTAAATGGCCAGTTTTATGTTATCGGAAATCCCAATGATGTCTTTACCACAGCACAAACGTCGAGATCATTGATGCCAAGGACGGCAACGCTACAAATAGAAACCCCAAGAAGTTGTAATCCCGGCTTGAAGAAGGTTCAATGAAATATATTGCTATTTTTTTATTGTGATCTTTGAAACATGTAATATATATATATATATATATGTATGTAATAATATTTTTTTAATTCACTTTGATTGTTTACAAATATGTTGTTTGATATGATTTCAGAGAGATGACAAGAGGAGAGCAACGCACAATGAGGTTGAGCGTCGACGTAGAGACAAAATAAATAATTGGATCACAAAATTGGGTAAAATTATTCCCGATTGCAATATTGGTACGACCATAGTGTCTACCAGTGCCAGCAGCGGAGAAGGAAAAGCCAATTATGAAACTCAGGTAAATAGCTTGATTAAAATTCTTTGTATGTAAATTTTTTATTATATAAATTGTTATATTATATTATTATTTTTTTTTTAATTATTTCTTGTGTTTGTGTGCTTTTAATAACAGAGTAAAGGAGGTATCTTGGCAAAAGCTTGCGAGTACATAACAGAACTGCGTACGGCTAATCAAACTTTAGTTCAATGTGCACAGGACAACGAGAAACTACGACACGAAATCACGGCGCTAAATCAGTTGGTTGCCGAATTAAAACGTGAGAATCTTCAACTTAGGTCGCAAATATCATCATCGGTTCCGAATACCGATGCTATACATTTGAGTTCTTAAAGCTTTCTCTTTTGTGAGCTATTAAACAATTGTTTCTGTAAATATCAAAATTTGTCGGTTGTTACACAACAAAAGAAAGGTGTCATTTTTTTTTTTTTTTGTTTTTCTTCTCCGCGACGACTGCACCCACAACGTATTCGAATATACTTTTTTATTTTTAATAAATCAATAATATAACAGATATAAATTTGAATAGACAAAAAATTATATCACGTAAGTATATAAAATCATTCGATTTAACATTTAAAATGTGGCTGTGAATACTGAAATTTTGACACACTGTTGTTTTTTTGGAAAAGCAATTGAAACAGTGTAGTGCAGCCGGGATTCATTTTGAAGGAGAGAAAGAGAATTTTTTGTTTATTTATGTAACCACACTGAGCCTGACAATTTAAGCGTTTGCAGAATTTGTTACATCGTATTTTTTTAAAGAAAATAATGTAATTGAAATTATAAGACTAATACAAGAGCAATTAGGATTGCTAAATTCAGGGAAGATCTTGATCTGAAAACGAAGGAGACGATGGTGTTGTTTTTAAGACGGTAAGGCCTGGTTTATGCGGGCAATAAAACTGTTTAACTTATGCCGGAACCGGTGGAGTTTAACTATAGGATTTCAATGCTTCTGTTTATACAAAATTGCCGAATGCTTCTGTTTATACAAAATTGCCGAATGCGTGTAAACAGAAGTATATTGGAATCTTATAGTTAAACTCTACCGGTTCCGGCATAACAGTTATTGCCCGCATAAACCAGGCCTAAAAGATAAATCTCCGGTATCTCTCCAAAGCTCGCGGCACATTTATGCTTCTTTCTTACTAGATCAACATACGAACAAAAATTGCTCGTATTGGTTTCAATTTCTGTTACTTAGTTTCTTTGGAAATTAACGACCGATTTTGTTTTTTTCTTTTCAGTTTTCACATTTCTTTGTCTTTTTTATTTTTTACCACAAGTTTTCGTAATTATAGGATAGAATATTTTGTAAGGAAGATTCTCTCTCAAATTTAAATTTGTAAAATAGATCAAAAAAAATATACGACGTATTATGAGGTAAGCCTTGTTTGCTAATTAACGTATGTACGTACATCTGTATATATATGTACACACGTGTGTAGGTCGTTGTGCATATGGCAATAACATTTATTTTTTTCAACGCGGAACAAAAATTCTTATCGAACGAAGAAGAAAGATGTGTCAGAATATCGATTTAACGTTAGATACCGGAATGTAATATATATATCGTTGATGTAAATAATACGAGGTTATTGTTACAATAATAATTATTAATTGAAAGCAATCTGTGTGAGTTTATTTGACGCTGCTATACTCCCAGCAAACACAGAATGTAACTGCTATATAGAAGCAACAGCGTAATATACGTAATATAACAGCTGTTATACTCTATTAACATCGATGTTATATAACTTTGTTTTATAATTGTAATATAATTATGTTATATATTTATTATATTGCTTGTTATCAGCTGCTATGATGACATTATAACTCTCATATAACAAATGACATTATAAACTCTCATATAACATTTAAATAATTGTTATATAGTTACAAAAATGTTATATGAGAGTTAGGTAATAATGACATTATAACTCTCATATAACATTTTTGTAACTAGAGTTATAATGACATTATATAACTCTCACATTTTTGTATCTATATAACAATTATATTACATTCTACTTACATGTTATATTCATATTATATAATAACCAATATACGATAAATAGAAAATTACAACTAACATGGGTGTTACATGCAACGACCATGTTACATCACTTGTTACATTTGTTTTATTACGACAACGTTGCTGTTATATATCTGTGTTTGCTGGGGCTGTTGCTACTTTACCATCCAACAGATTCATCCATTTATTCTTCGTGCACAAATCTTTTTATTGTATTCTTCATTTTTATACATATAATACAATGGAAATGATATCGAAGTCAATAGAACACGTATCATATCATGCACATTCCTTTTTCTTCTTATCTTCACGACCCCGCACCTCGATCATTCATCTCTCTCTAACGTATATCTTATATATAATCTTCTTTCTAAACTTTTATATCATTGTTGTAACATTTTATTCAGTAAGGTGTAATATAATCAAATATATATTGTGTAACAATATCGCGTGTCGCATTTAAATAATACATTATATGTTACAAGATTTAATACTCTATGGTTCAATCTTTCGCAAAAGAGGTAAAAGCTGTCGCGTCATCCACGTGCCACGTGTATGTGTGTGTGTGTGTGATTAATGGTTGAGAATTTTCTTCTCAATATGAGATTTCTAAATCTGCACGCGTCGGGACTAAACGAAGAGTTTAATTAATTTCGTTCGTATGACACGCGCTACAGAAAAAAAAAAAAAACAAATGTGGGAAACATCAAATTCCCGATTATTTGTTCGCACTGTCAAATAAAACGTGGGAATGAAACGGAAGTTTTACAACTTTGCCAAACCATAACATTAAATTCTTTTCTTGATAATATTCAACTAATTACAAGTAGTTTTGCTCTCGACTCGAGAGATTCTAAAAAAAAAAAATCTCGAGAACGCAAAGCATAAACTTTCAAACGTGTGCTTCGAGCACATTTAAGAATGTCCCACTTTATTGTCTCAATCGTCACGTACAAATGGCATTGTCTCTCGAACGATGTTTTACGCCGCACGGTAGTATCGATATTTTTTTTTTTTTATCGTAATTTTCTCTATTTACAATTCACTTACTGCTTACAAGATAAAATATATGTTCAATAAATGTTGCGTAAAATAATAACACTGCCTTTAACTTTTTTTTTTTTTTTGTTTGTTTTTGGCAAGCTCACATGAGATAGACCGGGACATACTTAAATGTTAGAGCCAAATTACAGAACAATATAATCTTAATATCTTAAAAATTGCTTTTAACAGGTAATAGAAGTTTAGTCCTCTAAATTCCTGAACGCCTGTTGAATATCCTCGTGCAATTGATCGAAATCCGCCCTGATCTTCGCTTCGCCATCCTTCACAGGATCCTAAAAAAAAAATTCAAGGTAAAAGATTTAATGTAGTTTTTCAAATACGGACGTTTGCGAAGTTGAAAAGAGTCAGTCGATTATTTAATATATAAACACACTTGAAATTTACGCACCTTAAACTTCATAGAGCTTAGCTGATAAAGAATATTGCCCATACTGTCCCTTATAACGTTCCATGTGATTTTATTATCTGACTGGGCTGTTGATTCAACCGCGTGTCGTGCCATATCGTAAAATGCAATCATATTTCGCAACATTCCCACTGTTTTATAAAACGGACAGAAACGATCGTACGGCGAGTAGCTAGAAAAAAACAAACAAACAATTTGAAAGTTTTTTCGTACAAATATCCACCTGATTTATTCTTATCTAATATTTACGCAAAAAAAATATGATAAAACAAATGTTTTTCGCGTACCTGTTTTGTTGCAAGAAGTCGTCCTTCAACAATTTTGCTACTTCCAGCGTGATCTTATCCGTTTCGGCGAGCGAGGCTTTGCCTACCAGCTGCACAATTTCGGATAAATCTTCTTCCTCTTGCAAAATTTCCTTCACCTTCGTTCGCAGCGGGACGAACTCCGCGAAATTCTTGTCATAGAAATCATCGAGCGCGCGCAAGTATTTGCTGTACGATATAAGCCAATTGATAGACGGGAAATGTTTGCGTTGCGCAAGTTTCTTATCCAATCCCCAGAACACCTGTTAAATTACATCAAGTAATAAAAAAATTTGAAAAGTTGATCAAAATAACTCGTTTATACTTTTGTGTATTCAGATATCTGTGTACCTGTACGATACTGAGCGTAGCGCTGGTCACAGGATCAGAAAAGTCACCACCTGGCGGTGAGACGGCACCAACAATACTAACAGATCCCTCGCGATCCGGATTTCCCAAACATTTTACTCTATATGAAAATTAAAATTCAATATTTTAATGCGTAGCAAAATTAAGTTTTTTTGTTAATGCAAAAATTCAAAATTACGAAATATTATTGATATCAAACGTGATATAAATTCCCGAAGAAATCGATTCGACTGACATTTGACGATAAAGTGCGACACGCAACACATCATACCTTCCAGCACGTTCNTAAAAACTGGCTAAACGAGCACCAAGATAAGCAGGATAACCAGAATCGGCAGGCATTTCAGCCAGACGACCTGAAATTTCTCGAAGAGCCTCGGCCCAACGAGATGTCGAGTCAGCCATCATCGACACATTATAACCCATGTCTCGGAAATATTCAGATAGCGTAATACCTGTAATAAAAAGTAATTAATTCAATTACATATACACACATACGCGCACAAAAAACACACATTTTATGTATAGTAGAGTGAATCGATATTTATATAAATTGTTGATAACATATTTCGTACCGGTGTAAATGGAAGCTTCACGAGCGGCCACCGGCATGTTGGACGTATTGGCGACCAAAGCGGTACGTTTCATGATGGACTCGGTGACGCCTTCAATTTCTACAGTCAACTCGGGGAAATTATGCAATACTTCGGACATTTCGTTACCACGTTCTCCACAACCAACGTAGATAATCACATCGGAGTTGGAATATTTGGATAAAGCTTGCGAGATGACGGTTTTGCCGCAACCGAAAGCACCGGGAATAGCTGTGGTTCCACCTTGTACGCATCTGAAACACATGTTACACATACACGTTTTAAAGCATTTGCAGAAATATGCCGCAATAACACTATTTGAATAAGACTCTTACGGGAAAAGANAGTCCAAGACTCGTTGACCAGTGAGTAGAGGATGATTAGCTGGCAATTTTTCGGTAACTGGACGAGGTTGACGAACTGGCCACACCTGCATGCAATCAACTCGTAAATTCACAACATGCAAACTACACATTCAAAACTACACTTTCACATATTGGCTGTTACATAGACGTGTGTTTCGTACCTGGAGCATAGTATATTTTTGTCTCTCGCCATCGAACTCAGTTTCCAGTACGATATCCTGCATAGATATGTAAATTTTGATAAATTTATACATGTATAGAATATATATAAAATATGTGGAACAAAATCCATACAAAAATGAAATCCTACATCAACGGTATAGTTGCCAGCAGGTGCGATGTAAGTGACGGTGCCTTTGCACTTGGGTGGCAATATCATGCGATGTTTTACCAAAGTGTTCTCGTGCACGATACCGTACATATCACCGCCTGTGATGTGGCTGCCGCTCTTTATGTTGTGAGGATTAAATTCCCACGAAGCGGTGCGAGATAACGCTGGTACATTGACACCCTTTGGGATGTAAATCGAACTTGTAAGCTCGTTGATGTCTTTCAACGGACGCTGAATACCGTCAAAGATACTGCCGAGAATGCCAGGACCCAATTCGACAGATAGTGGTTTACCAGTACGAAGTACCGGATCACCAACTGTCACACCACTTGTCTCTTCATACACCTATGTATATATATATATGATTTTTTTTATTTTATTTATATTTTAAGTTTTTTTTTAAACAGAGAAAGTAAAATCTAAACACAAATATGGTTTTTCGTACCTGTATTGTAGCCATATCACCTTCCAATCTGATGATTTCTCCTACTAATTCGTAGTAACCAACTCGTACCAGCTCATACATAGCTGATCCGGACATCTTCTCAGCAGTGACGACTATAGCAAAAGAAGATGTTAAATTGACCAGTTTGTAATAATAAGATAACAAACTTGATCTAATAACAAACTTGATAAACTAACCAGGTCCGGATACCGCATAGACGAATCCGAACTTGCCTTCCCGGTCCTCTTGCGCAATCTTCAGCAAACTTTGATTCGTCATTTTGATCAGTTAATTGACCTGAAAAAAAAAAAAACAAGAAAGTTAGTTATCTCTGATCATTTGATATTTTATACTCTATCAAATGTTTTTCCTACAATCTATATTTCAATTACAGTTTAAAATAACGCGAATTTACCAACATTTTTTTATACAAATTATTCAATTTGTTACTTTGCTATTGCAATCATAAAATAGCGCCAGTCACAATGATTCTTTTTAATCACATCTTTTGCACTTCCGAGCGCAATTCTTTGAAACATATAGATTTAAATAGATTTATATTTCCGATTTTTTATTTCAAATTTTTAAAACTCTAATAAGGAGCCAATTTAAATAAATATCGATTAAATAAAAAATTAAATCTGCTGTTTGAACTTCTTACGTCTTTCTACAATCTTTCTTACTTCAGTTAATATCTACAGAAGAGAGAGAGAGAAACAGAGAGAGAGAGAAAGACAGAGAGAGAGAGAGAAAAAAAATCTAGATAAACTCTTATAATTTTTTGATTAAAAATTAATCAAGATACGAACAAAAGCTGAAAGAGCTGTTAAAAAAGCGTTTCTAGATTGTTATATCGTGATTTGTACGACAAAAAGAACTGAAAAAAAAAACCTTTGAATGTTTCAGCTGTCACACGAGCTGGCTACGATTCACGTGAGCAGGCCGTTCAAAAAAATAGGCGTAGCCCCGCGAAGCCTGCGAGCCCGTTTGTCGAGCGATGAAAAAATATTCGATTGTCGCGGAACAGCGCGATCGATCGCGCGAACGTTCGCCGAACGATCGTGAGACGCGTCGTGGCCCAAAAATCGGCCAAAATTATTATAGAATTTAACGCTCAATTCGAGACGCGATGGCGAACGCAAAAGTCGATCGATACTACGCGCCGGAGGAGATTAATTCTCTCGTTCGCGCGAATTTCTGCGAATTAATGAATTGAAATCCGCTCCGACGAGCATTACGATCGGGTTGTTACATATTCCTCGACGCGATCAATTTGATACTCACAAGATGCGACGTCTTCAGGTTCGTAGTTTAGACAGCGATCAGAATTCGTGCTCTTCCCTCGAAGTACAGACTGACTGCTATCACAAGACAGGTCAGCTGACCAGCTGACTGACTCGCGTGTCGATCCTCAATTATACCAGATACGCGCATTAAGGAGAACTCGCATGAAAGTCACAAGCGGGGATCATTTGTGCTGCTATATAGGCTGTGTTTCAAAATTCACTGCCAGCGCTAAAGATCTATAGTTTAAGTCACATATATTATACAATTTTAGCACTGGCAGCGTGCTGGCAGTAAATTTGGAACACAGCCTATATACATACATCCGCAAAAAGGTGGGAACTACGAAGCGACATTCAAACGTGGACGGTATAAATGTAATAATTGTTAGAATTTACTCTGGAGGAAGAAGCGGTATTAAAAAGATCTGATCACACATATTTGACAGATATACGAAGTATTGCGAGACGAACTCCAAGTGCCTCGGTGGTTCCTAACAGGGAAGGCGAAGATTCCAGGTTCTCGACTCCTGGCTGAGAAGTTTTTTTCGCAATATTTTAAAATTATTTAAAGGGGTATTGGAGGGGACCCTGCATATATATAAGATGCAATATTATCATCATATTTGATTTTAAAGAATTGTTATTTCAAAGAGAGAAAATATAAAAATGACAGAACCGCGCTCGCAATGTAAATACAAATAAGCAAATAAATAAGGTCACATCGAGCAATAGAAAGATATTAAAATATAATAAAATAAATAATTTATAATGATCACGCTTTAACATAGAATTACACGAAATATTTCGACTCTAACTTGAGTCTTCTTCAGTCGTGAGTGTCAAAAAATACGCAATATACATTAATTGATGTCAAAAGATAAAAAGAAGTCAATGTCTAAAAGCAACGCAAAAAGTTGGCCGTTGGTAGTAATCATGGTGAAATTATCTCGAAGATAACAAAGAAGAGTATTTGATCACTGTTACTTAACAAAACTTTCATTTTTGTTATTTCAATTCCAAAAAACTCATGTGAAAAATATTACACGTGAATACATATATATATATATATATATATATATATATATA